ATATGCCTGGAATGTTCCGCAGTATGACATTAAACAGTTCTACCTTACATTTACTCAATTACCTAGAAGAAACATGCATTCTCTCTGTGAACGGGGTTGTCTCTCCACAGATCTGAGCTGTAACTTGGTCTGGTTTGGCTTCATGAAGGTAGAACAGCTTAATATCATAGCGTGAAACATTCCAGACAAAGCAGTAATAGCTACAGATAGGCTATAGAGACATTATTGATTTAAAATGTTATTATTATATATTATGCTTGTGTTGGATTCAATGTTCAAGCAAAACTCTTTTAAAAACATTTATTTTAATAAGAAAAGATTTAACATTACATATCTCTAAAGAAGAAAAAACATGCAAATATTGTTGAATTTTTTCAATAAATATTTAATTTGGCCCACGACTTAGTCACAGTTTTTAATTTTTGCATCCAGGGTTTTAATGGCCAGGCTGGCGCCACCTAGTGTCTCTGCTTAATTTCATTTCTCTCCAGCAACTAGGTCAGGTCAAAATACAATAGAAGGTTCACAAAAACCCCGGAAGTGCAAGTTCAGGCACCAGCCAATCAGCAAAGAGCCGTAGATTCAGTGTTGTCAACGATTCCCGAAGTCGAGGATTTAAAGCCAGAATCGAGAATTTAAAGCCAGAATAAAGAGAATGTTTGGTGAATTTCATCAAGGCGAAATTATTATTTTGCCCTTCTTCCTACGGAATTTGGGAAAAGCTTAATATACCTGTTAGCCCCATTAGCGGCGCATTACATACATCATGACCAAATAGCAGTAATTGGTTAAATGATAAAAAGTACCAGCCTACCGTCGAGCGAACTAAACAGTACGAGGTCAGACGGATTCTATGAAGTGAAACTGGCTGATGAATCAAGCTACCTTCACTCACTTGTCTCTAAGGATATGCCTGCAATGTTTCACAATATGACATTAAACAGTTCTACGTTACACGTATCCAGTTACCTAGAAGAAACAGGCATTCTCTCTGTGAACAGAGTTGTTTCTCCACAGATCTGAGCTGTAACATGGTCTGGTTTAGCTTCCATTATGCTAAAAAGTCTTAATACCATAGTGTGAAACATTCCAGACAAAGCAGTATTTGACGGACCCTTCACCAGAAAAGTTACACAATGCACCTTTAACTGCACCTGTTTGCAATTGTTTAAATAGTAGAATTTCCTCTGCATCCCGTGTTTTAATGGCCAATACATTAAAAAAACGTGTATATCCTTGTACTACACAGCGACACGGTGGCTGAGTGGCTAGCACTCATGCCTCACAGCAAGAAGGTTCTAGGTTTAATCCCCGGGTCACCCAGGCCTTTCTAGATGGGTTTTGTCCGGGCGCTCTGGTTTTCCCCATCAACCCAAAACATGCTACAGGTCTCCATGAACAGTTGTTAGTCAAGGTCAATTAAAAAATACAATCAATTCAATCATTGTGTGTCCTTAGGCAAGACACTTCACCTACATTGCCTAGTATGAAAGTGGTGTGTGCGTGGCTGATGGTGGTGGTCAGAGGGTCCGATGGCACCGATTGGCATGGCAGCCGTGCTTCTGTCAGTCTGCCCCAGGGCAGCTGTGGCTACAATAGTAGCTTACCATCACCAGGGTATAGAGCGAATGAATAATGCTGAATAATGCTCTGTAAAGTGTCTTTGGGGACAAAAATGTCTGTGAAAAGCGATATATAAATACAGACTTGCTTACTTACTTGTACTAGTCTAACTGTTCATTTTTCTGTATCTCAAATGACAATGCTAATTTGTAAACATAAAAAGCAAAGAATGATACTGACAAAATTCCCATTACACTGAAGGTTCCGACTGAACACACAAACTTATGTCTTACTTTGATGAAATGTAAGTATAATAAGTATTTCTGCATGAAATATTGAATAATTGTCAGGATTATAGTAAAAAAAAATATAGCTCCTTTTGGAAGAAAGTTAACAGAAGCCCTGTGTATGGCCTCATGTTGGCCCCTGCAGTGATAAAAAATAGTATCTCTCAGCTTTAACCAAGGACCTTTTCTTTCTAATCAAACTTTTCAGCCTTACTCTGTCCAGACTTTTATCACTGAGTGGACGCGGGAAGACTATGTTTATATCACTTTCCAAAGGCTGTTATTTGTGAAGGCTTAATAAGATCATAAATTCAGTGCAGCTTGTTATTTGTCCAGAAATACAGCACCTGACCCCCAGCCCCTGTCTACCCTGACTCTGCAGTTTTACTCTGTTTTGGGTAACTTATTTTGTCTTTTATTGCTTAATCTAGCGCTAGTACTTATTCAAACTAGGATTTATATTGGTGGCCCTGTTTTAAATCTTCAGCTAAGTCCTGTTTTTAGCCTTAGAGGTACGAGGTGGTATTTGGTTTGGAAGAATCACTGTTGGATTACTGGTAGGTGACAAATTCAAATATGGAGACTTTTGGTTAAAGGTCTTATATTATGCTAAATTGACTCATTTGAGCTCTACACCGTGTTAAAATAATGTTACCTCATCACAAGCATACCCAGAGTTGTGTTTTGTTTCATTGACACGTGCGATTAACCCTTTATTAAGTCTGTCTACATCTCCGAAGCTCAAAATGCTCTGTTCTACTTTGTGATGTCATGAAGCTCTAGTTTTCAAGTTAACAGCTTCCTTTTATAATTACCATGTTTTTCGGACTTATAAGTCAGCACTTTTTTCATGGTTTGGGTGGTCCTGCGACTTTTACTCGGGTGCGACTTATATATTAAAATTTTCACACTGATAGCCACGAGAGGGCGCTCTAGGCTTGTGTGCCGGTATCTGCTGCACCTATTACTTCTCTACCACTGTCACTTCGGCCTTTATTGCGCATGTCTCCTGTACTCCAATGACAACCGAAACTGTCCTGTCGGGATTCAGAAAGGCCGGAATAATTCTAACTGGAACTGATGCTGAGTCTGACGACAGCTACACAGAAGAGGAAGCAGCGTACCGTTTATCTCCGAAGGTTGTGGAATTGCCATGGATCTATAAGAATTTATTATAGTTCTATGGGAGTTGCTCAGAAGTGACACAGAGGATGTCAAATTCAATGGATTTAGTGATTTGGAGTGAAATCTAAAGTTTGGTAAATTGTTATGTTTTTATGCTCTATTTATCTGAAGAACTTAATATGTTGCCTTAACATACCAGTCGCCTATTCAGCCTGTGTTGTTCTCTGTTCTATTGTTATTACTATAATTTACCTTTCAGGATAAAATATCGGTTCCTGGTCTCTAATTTTATAAAATAAATTTCCCCCAAAAAGGGCGACTTATAGTCCGGTTGGACTTGTATATGTTTTTTCTTCTTCATTACGAATTTTTTGGCTGGTGCAACTTATACTCCGGAGGGACTTATAGTCCGAAAAATACGGATTTTGGCTATTCCAGGGGTGAAATTGTCCAAATGATTCTAGTGAAGGTGCGTGGAGTTTAAAAACACCGTGGAGCACTTCGTGTATTACTACATGACATCACAAGGTGGAATAGAGTGTTTTCAGTTTGAGAATATGCAGGATCTGTGTGTTAAACATGAGTGAACGAAACAAAACACAACTCCAGGTCTGTTTGTGATGAGGAAACAACATTATAACATAAATCAGAGAACAGTGTAATATGGGCCCTTTAACAAATAATAGACCAATAATAATAGATAGATGATTGATAATATACTTTTGCATATTTGGCTAATTCGCACCCAAATATTTGTAATGCAGTATTTACGAGCGCTGTCACACTCTTCAGATTTGAGTCACGCCTGCTGGTGTGTTACTGATTATCATATGATCTTGAGAAATATTACTTTCCAAAATGACACAGTAACAGTCAAAGTCACCTCCATCCTCGTGGCCATGTATCACACTGAGATTAACATCGTGTAAAAGCATTTTCCTACACATGACAAAGAATAACTGTGAGTCAGATCAGGTTCAATGAGGGATCCCTATCATCAATCACACATACTAGTACATGCTGGGGTTATATGCTTTTTCAGGACGCTAAATTGACTTGCATGAATTTGTTGGACACCAGTTCTAACATTAATCATCTCCACTATGTGCCTAACTTTAAACAGATTTTAACCCATATCTGAACTTTAAATTATGTTGTTGATCTAATAATAAAGAATTTATGTCATGCAGACCTGGTTTTAGTTCTGGTTTAGTCCTGGTTAAATTCTGTTATAGTCATGGTTTAGTCCTGGTTTTAGTTCTGGTTTAGAGGCATGGGAAATACGAGAGAAGGCGGTGTATGGGTGGGTTCCCGTGGGTTTAGGGACCCCTGATATAGGCCACTGAAGAAATTATTTGGCTTTCCAGGTGCTAAAAGATCCAAACCAGGTCTCTAGGACTCATATCTAAACATGGACAACATAAATTCCACTGAATTCTAAACAAGAAATTATCCACAGGAAGACAAATAAGTGGATAAAATTAACTCTAAATCAGACAAACCCACAAACTGAAAAGCTGAAGTACAACCTGAAGTAATTTGCGTACCACAATTTGAGAAAAACTGAGCAAGTCAAAGTAACTCTAATCAATATATTGATAATTTTCAGTGACATCACACTGGGGGTGTACTACATGTATCTCTAAAGGTGGAATGTTCAGCTTTTTCCATGGCGCCACAATGCACAGATTAGCAAACACAGACAAAAAATGTTTTAAGATAGCCTGAAAACAAAATGAATTAGGTTGTGACTGTACTTTTACATGTGTAAGACTAGTTTAAGCACACAAATAATTTCACCTGTTGTAGTCCCAACCACGTCCGCTCTTTCTGATCAGACTGTGTTAAAATAAAGGTCAAATTAAGCCTAACTTGGGTCACAGAGCTTCTACCAGAGTAGTGCTTTCAGGTAGCACCACACCCCCATTGAGAATTGATGACATCAGCTTTAAAGTATCCATTGCTACTAACTCCAAAACTCCACTCTCCAAACTTATAACATTTTTCTCTCCTGTCTTTTCACAGTCTTTACCGTGCACATGTGGAATCTCCCAGACCAGGACCATGACCATGCTGGATGGGACCTACAGCGAGGCAGACACCAACAGCCTGGCGGGCTACACGGAGGAACCCATGAGTCCGGACATGGAGCAGGAAGAGATGCACGAAGTCCCCGAGAAACCTGAACACATGGTGGTGCATTTGTCCGTTAGTAGCGAATCCACCAACACCAAGAAGAAGAAGAGCATGCGAGCGCTAAACATCATACAAAACACGCACGCCATCGACAAGTATTCGCGGATGATTTTCCCCGGGTCTTACATCTTCTTCAATCTTATTTATTGGTCGGTTTACTGCTGAAAGGACCCAAAATGTACTGGACAGCAAAGAGAGCTGCCGAACAAACAGGTGTAGCAGATCAAGGCTTTCAAAATCAAGCTCAAAACGTGACAGACGGTTTATTTTTCCAGCGACTTGAATGTTTTCTGCTGTAAAGTACATGTACATTTGTTCGATCTTTCTCAGCTCTTGGTCGCCTGCTCCTTTCTGCTCTTTTTACTCGTCATCGCTATGGTTACAGGCGAGGTGAACACAGGGGAGGAGACGTGGGGGTACAAAGGGGTCTCTTCACTCAGGCTCCAGGATCTTAGGGGCCCAGAATTGAACATTCATCCTTTTAATTTATATTCGAGGGGGGGCCCATGTGAAGCATCTTGCCCCAGGCCCCCCAAATTTCTGTGGACGGGCCTGCGTGTACCATCTGACCATGTGTAAGAAACGTGTGATTTTTATTTTTATTTATTTGTGAAAATCTGCTCAAGCTTTCAAAGAAGATAACTTATTTATATTCTTACAATCAAAGGTTTATGGAAATGTATTATTATTTATGTTGACAACACAAGTCTGTAAATGCTAGCATGCTAACATGCTCACAGTATATCTAGTATGTGTACGTTCACCACTTTTATATTTTTGTCACTATAACTTGAACAGTTAGAAAATACACACATATTTTATTTATTTATTGATGGGTCATAATATTTTGGGAATAGTTCAAGTAGAATAAAGTGTTTTACATTTAGATAATCTTCATGTCACATAGCTTCCCTCTGATTGGTCAGGAGTGAATGGTGTCAGCATTAAAACATGTTATTAAAAAAAAAATGTCCCCTCTTAAACTGTTCCCATGGGCCTTAGAGCTGCGGTTTCCTGAGCTGCTGGAATAAGCAAAAATCAATCAGGAAACCCAATTTGCCATTTTTATATCAACATTAGAAGTCAGTATTTCCCATGACCCAACCTTCTTCCTTAACCCTACAAAGATGACTGTCACTCCCCAGTTGAGCCAGAGCCGAATTTGCGTCAAAATTCGATATGCTCATGCCCAGAACACTTGTCACTATGGCAACACAACATCTTAAGTGCTATCCATTTTTATTATTCATTATATATGTTTACATGTCAACATTCCGATTGTTAAAAATCTCAAGCAAACAGATGAGTGCAGAGAAAACTGATTTGAGAGTAATTTTTTTAATGTTTTTGTGATTACAGCGATACAGGATTTTATGAAACTTTCTTTGGATACACTGTGTAACTTTACTGGTGGGGAGTCCGTTAAATGCTTTTCTCCATGGAGATGTTATCGTCTCATCTGAAACCTTTATATCTTCATGGAGACCAAACCAGACTAAGGCTATGTTCAGACCGCAGGGCTTAATGCTCAATTCCGATTTTTTTGTGAAATCTGATGTTTTTGCGAGGTTGTTCACATTTCCAATTAAATGCGACTTGTCTGTGACTTCAGTGTGAACGGTAAATGGCCCGAAAGTGTCCCGCATGTGCACTGGAGGACACGATGACGTCAACCCCATGCGTCAACCGCAGCGAGCGTGCTCTGTGTTTACGGAAGTTGTCCAAATATGGTCGCGAGCATTGAGCACCTGGCGATTTTACAGTTCCGGTTTCCGCCTGCTTCAGCGCAGAATAGTGACGTTTGTCGCTTGTTAATGACGTGTAGGTCGGATGGATGAGCTTTGGCTGTTCAGACTGAAGTCGCATGTCAAAAGATCGGATATGTATCGGATTCAGGACCACATATCCAAGTGGCCTGGGTCACATTTGAAAAATTCGGATCTGTGCCGTTCAGACTGTCATTAAAAGATCAGATACAGGTCACATAGAAGCCAAAAAATCGGATTTGGGTCACTTCAGGCTGCAGTCTGAACGCAGCCTAAGTTGCTGGTCCGATCTGTGGAGAGGCGACCCCACTCACAGTCAATACCAGTATTTATTGCTATTTTTGAGCTATAAAACCACCTGTAATTGAATAAATTTAAGGTAGAGCTGCTTAATGTCATAGTGCGGAACATTTCAGACAGAGCAATGACATATCCATAGAAACAAGCAGGTGACGGACCCACAACCAAAAAGTTACACAATGCACCTTTCAACTGACAGATCACATTTTAGGTTTAACATTCATTTTAAATTAACGACACGATTGACGCAAATTCTGCAAAAATGACTCAAATTGGGGGGTGAAAGTTGTTCTTGTTATTCTGCCTGATGACATCATCAACGCGAGACAGGCCGTTAAAAGCGTTTGCATTTCAGGCAGCTTACTGAAACACAATCATTACAACGTTGTGGCTTTGGGCTTTATAGATCTTTTGCAGAACTTTTATATGAACAAAGCAACGAAATGCACTAAAACAGGAGTGAGGGAGGATTCATAGGGGCTATTACAGAGGAAGATATTTGAATCATTAGGGAGTTGGAACAGCGAGCACTATCCGTATATTTGTGAATAAATTAAAGAGAAGATTTGGTTGATTTCGGCAGGATGTATGATCTGTACTTTTACATTGTGGTCTGGCGAAGTAACTCTTGTGGGTTTGATGGAGAATAGAAATGTCCATGATTGTCTTTGAGTGTTAATAAAGATATGGTTCCTTTTGCAAACTGGTATCACGTTTTATCATTATGGTGGATGGATAATGGAAGGTTACGGACAACTATGTATGTACTACTCAACAGCCCCATTCACATTGAAGCTACAGATTTCACTTTTTTTTTTTTCCATAGACTTTAAAGGCACCATGGAGAATAACCAGCCATGTAACCAACAGAAATCAACTGATATGTTTTTTGTTTTTGTTTTTCTTTCTTGGCAGACGGCAATACAGATTTGACAAATCCAGAGCAAGCAATGGCCAATAAGCTTTGCCGATACTTTTTAGGCCGATATGTAGGGCTGATTTTGATTATTTTCTATTATTACTACAAACTCACCTACAGTCCTTTTTTTATCACAAACCTTTAAGAAAGCTATAGTCATATTTAGTGCAGTTATCTCTTCGTATTAAAGTGTTAAAATAAAGCTTTGTGTGTATATTTTAGGCAGCAGATCAACCAAAACTAAATATTGTTCTGTTATGGAGATTTAAGGATGATAGCTCATACTTTAGAAATATCTAAATATCTACTCTAGCTAAATATCAACTCGACATATCGGTCAGTCTCTAGTGACCAATGTCCAGAGTAGGGCTGGGTATCATTAAAGGTTGTATGGAGGATTTTTTTTAGTTTCAAACTGTCAGTGAAAGATTAAAATACCATTACAGAGACGCAGCAGCTTTGTAATTATGATGACCAAAAAAAAAAAGAACGAAAATCTATCAACTGTGGACATAGTAAGGCCAGATAAACATCAGCCAATAGAAAACGAGGCTCCCTCATTTTCTATTGGCTATTAGGTTGTCAATCAAACTCCCTGTAACTGACTCGTTGGAGCGCGGGGATTACATGGTTTACGCAGCGGTTCTTAGAGGCTTTTTCGAACTGTCGCTTCCTCGCATTTCGCACAAAGTTTGTCGCGACAGCGGACGAGAATCCACGACCGGTTCGCCGCAAAAGAAAGTCCGTTTTTGAGGTCGCTGAAAGAAGAAGTGAAGAGGAAAAGGAGCAAAGCCAAACTGAGGTGATTCTTGGAGATCTCGTCCAGCGATGGCGCGACCGAAGCAGACGAACCGTCTAAAAACTGACGCGTCGGTTGCTGAATTATTTCTAGACAGGTCACTTCAACAGTAATTCTGAATGCGCACAAGGACTGTCGCTGTATTTCTCTTCCCTTAAAAAAATCCTCTATACAACCTTTAAGAAGTTGCCAATACAATACATACCTGAATACATCGGTCATGATACGATACATATCTCGATACAGTGAACCTTTGATTCGATACGATATATTTCAATTCAATTCGATGCAGTTCAATAAAAAAATAAAGGCAAAATTATGGCTATGATACTAAAAGTCTTTGTTAAACCACTTTTTGTGCAAATTTTACATGAAACACAAACATTTTAATCATCAAAACAGTGAAAATGTCAAATGTGTCGCATAAACAATTTTCCTTTCACTAAACAAGCAAAACTGTAGCTCTGTAACAAAATAATTTAGTAAAATATAACAAAAAATTGTCTTGGTGATATATCGATACTGTATCATCACATTAAGCAATACGATATAGCAATATTTTGATATTTTTGCACACCGCTAGTCCAGAGTGCAATTATTTTTAGTTTAGTTTAGTTCCAAAGCAGTTAAAAAAGTTTCAGAAATGTGCATTATATGTCTTATGTTATTATGTTATATTATTTGTAAGCACATAGCTGATTATTACCCTATGTGGACCTGTCAAACTCAATATGGGCATTTAAATTCACTATAAGCAACATGGAAAGATGCAATTCTACATAAAATAATAATAAAAAGCTCTGATGATACTTTTTAGGCTGATATGTAGGGATGATTTTGATTATTTTCCCCAAATTATGTCTTACTACAAACTCATCCACAGCCCTTTGTTTTATTGCAAACCTTTAAGAAAGCTGTAATCATGTTTAGTGCAGTTATCTTTTCGTATTAAAGTGTTAATATGAAGCTTTGCGTGTATTTTTTAGGCAACAGGTCAACCAAAACAAAATATTCACTTGTGCTGGAGATTTAAGGACAATAGCTGATATGATCAAAAAGTTAAATATCAAGTCAATTTATCGGTCTATCTCTAGCGACCAATGTCCAGAGTAGGGCTGGATATCATTAAGAAGTTGCAGATACGATACATACCTCGATACAGTGAACCTTTGATTCGATATGATATATTTCAAATTGATTTGACATGGTTCAATAAAAAATAAAGGCAAAATTATGGCTGTGATATTAAAAGTCTTTGTTAAACCACTTCTTGTGCAAAGTTCATATGAAACACAAACATTTTAATCATCAAAAAAGTGAAAATGTCAAATGTGTTACATAAACGAGTTTCCTTCCACTAAATAAACAAACCAAACTGTAG